GGATGACAGGCACTCTCCACCACCCCCAGCTGGTGGCTTCTTTTTAATGGATGATGGTGGATATCAAATTATTATGGTATGGGCCAGGCGCAGTGGCTCACACCTGTAATCCTAGCACTCTGGGAGGCCGAGTCGGATGGATCGCTCAAGGTCAGGAGTTTAAAACCAGCCTGAGCAAGAGCGAGACCCTGTCTCCACTAAAAATAGAAAGAAATTAATTGGCCAACTAAAAATGTATAGAAAAAATTAGCCGGGCATGGTGGCGCATGCCTGTAGTCCCAGCTACCTGGGAGGCTAAGGCAGGAGGATTGCTTGAGCCAGGAGTTTGAGGTTGCTGTAAGCTAGGCTGACGCCACAGCACTCTAGCCCAAGCAACAGAGTGACACTCTGTCTCAAAAAAAAAAAAAAATTATGGTATGGATATCCTTTTAGGATAATTTGAGTGTGGTGAAACTGTTTTAAAATGTCAATATTGGCCGGGCGCGGTGGCTCACGCCTGTAATCCTAGCACTCTGGGAGGCCAAGGCGGGTGGATCGCTCGAGGTCAGGAGTTCAAAACCAGCCTGAGCAAGAGCGAGACCCCTCTCTACCATAAATAGAAAGAAATTAATTGCCACTATATATATATAGAAAAATTAGCCGGGCATGGTGGCGCATGTCTGTTAGTCCCAGCTACTCGGGAGGCTGAGGCAGGAGGATTGCTTGAGCCCAGGAGTTTGAGGTTGCTGTGAGCTAGGCTGACGTCATGGCACTCACTCTAGCCTGGGCAACAAAGCAAGACTCTGTCTCAAAAAAAAAAAAAAAAAAAAGATGGGAAGAAGCAGGTTGGGAAAAAAAAATAAATAAAATGTCAATATTTACAGCGTACAAACATTACATCATTTCAGTTATTTTAAAAATAGGCCAGGTGCGGTGGCTTACGCCTGTAATCCTAGCACTCTGGGAAGCTGAGGCGAGCAGATTGCTCGAGGTCAGGAGTTTGAAACCAGCCTGAGCAAGAGCGAGACCCATCTCTACTAAAAATAGAAAGAAATTGGCCAACTAATATATATACACACACACACACAAAAAAAAAAAAAATTAGCCGGGCATGGTGGCGCATACCTGCAGTCCCAGCTACTCCGGAGGCTGAGGCAGGAGGATCGCTTGAGCCCAGGAGTTTGAGGTTGCTGTGAGCTAGGCTGACGCCACGGCACTCACTCTAGCCCGGGCAACAAAGCGAGACTCTGTCTCAAAAAAAAAAAAAAAAAATTTGATTGCTTAAAAATATGCAAGTTTCTACACAGTTTTTGAAAATCCCTTTAGAAACCAAATGGCCAAAAAGCTTGAAGAGAGGCTCCAGTTTTCTGTTTTCTGACCTAGTGGATTGTGATGGGGCGGGGGGAGGCAGTCACAGGGCTGAAGGCTCAGAGGGGAGACAGTGTGAGACCGGGGGTGGGGGTGGGGCACAGGGAGGGGCCTCAGCACACGCGTGTTCCGACTCTGGTGGAGCGGGGCTCTGTGGAGCTGCCCCTGCTGAAGGAGGACAGCACAGAGGCAGGGACAGGCGGAGAGAGCCACTCCTGCGTGCTCCCTGCCAGGCGTGGGTGGTGCTGAGGGTGCGGGGATGGCCAGCCCTAGCAGAAACTTAGAGGTGTCTGGCACGGGAGCCAGGTGGGGCCCAGCCTGCAGATAGACTCGGGCAGCAGGTAGCAGGAGAAACCCTGAGATGGGACCCAAACAGACACTCCTTGGGGGACACCCCCCAGTAGCCAGCTAAAGACCAGTAGAGACCAAGGGGCCTCTCGTCCCTGGTGTTACAACCCATAGGCCACCCATTTTCTGAACATCATAGCGAGGGGCTGGAAGGGAGCCCTACAAGGGCTTGGTAGTCACTTGATTTCTCCAAGCAAAGCCTGCATGGCCCAAATAAGCTGCTTAAAACAGTCATTCTCCACTAAGGCTGGAAAATGGCATCACCTGGGAGCTTTAAGAAATTGCCCAGGCGTGGCCCCCCTCCAGAGGTTCTCGTTTCATTGTTCCATATGCAGTCTTGCATCAAAGGTTTCCAAATGCCCCCGGTGCAGGAATTTTTTCTAATTTGTCTTTCAGAAAAGAACTTCTTTTTTGAGACAGAGTCTCGCTTTGTTGTCCAGGCTAGAGTGAGTGCCGTGGCATCAGCCTAGCTCACAGCAACCTCAATCTCCTGGACTCAAGCGATCCTGCTGCCTCAGCCTCCCGAGTAGCTGGGACTACAGGTCCAGCCGCCACCATGCCCGGCCAATTTTTTCTATATATATTTAGTTAGGTAATTAATTTCTTTCTATTTTAGTAGAGACGGGGGTCTCACTCTTGCTCAGGCTGGTCTAGAACTCCTGACCTTGAGTGATCCATCTGCCTCAGCCTCCCAGAGTGCTAGAATTACAGGCATGAGCCACCGCGCCCGGCCCCCAGAGAAGAACCTTTTAAAACTTGCACAAAGGCACCCCCCCCCAAATAGGTTGAGGGAAGTGGCCTGCAAAAATATGTAGAAACTTTACATCCTTTTCTGTCAGGAGTTCACCATGAGTTGTAATCTATGAGCCACGTCTGGCCTGTAGATATGTGTGGTTTGGTTTGTGCAGTAATTTTTTTTTTTTTTTTTTTTTTTTGAGACAGAGTCTCGCTTTCTTGCCTAGGCTAGAGTGAGTGCCATGGCGTCAGCCTAGCTCACAGCAACCTCAAACTCCTGGGCTCAAGCGATCCTCCTGCCTCAGCCTCCCGAGTAGCTGGGACTACAGGCACAAGCCACCATGCCCGGCTGATTTGTATATATATATATATATATTAGTTGGCCAATTAATTTCTTTCTATTTTTATGGTAGAGATGGGGTCTCGCTCAGGCTGGTTTTGAACTCCTGACCTTGAGCAATCCGCCCGCCTCGGCCTCCCAGAGTGCTAGGATTACAGGCGTGAGCCCCCGCGCCCGGCCTGTGCAGTAATTTTATGCACAGGAAAATGTCACATAAAAATATAGATTTCCTGTTTCTCTTAAACATAAAACCCAGAAATGATAGATTTTTATTCCCACCTGGTAGCAAAATGCTGCTGCCTGAGCATGGAGTGTTTTGTCTCCATTTTGCCACAGTCCCCACCATTCCCTGTTGTTCCACCTAGCTGGCTTCAGCCATTTGCTTTACCTTCTTGACTCCTGTAGGAGGTGTTTGGTTTGCGATCCTTGCTATACCATCTTGCACCTTGCTTTTTCCATTCAATAATGTCTCTCGGAGATTGTTCCATATGTAGATTTGTCTCATCTTTTAAAATGGCTGTACAGGTGCCTGCACTCGTGCCTGCACACAAGTCCCAGCTACTCCAGAGGCAGAGGAAGGAGGATCCCTTGAGCCCAGGAGTTTGAGGTTCCAGTGAGCTATGATTGCACCACTGTACTCCAGCTCCCGTGACAGAGTATAAAAAAAAGTACTGCACAGTGTCCCTGTCCCTTTGTATAGATGTGCCCTCTCTTACTTAGAGCATTCCCTATTTAATGGACATTTATGTTGTACCAACTTTTTACAAACAATGCTGCAGTGAGTTAGAGAATAACCTTGTTCGTGCTAGTGACGTAGGCAGTAGCATACTGGAACGGGCTTGTCCCTGCTCCAGGAGCCAATTCTTAACAATTGAGGAATCTTAATAGTCACTTGTTACATTGTAGGTAGTCTGAAATCAGGCTTGGAAGTATTTACACCACAGAAATTGGGAAAAGCTATGCATTAGGGTGATGTTTTTAGTTTGTTTTTCCCTGAAGAGCCTGTTTGCCAGCACACCACTGCCAAAGGCGAAGTTCCATCGGCCAGGGGTCAAAGAGCATTGACAGTTAGCACAAAGAAATCAGAGCAGGCTTTGGGCAGAAAGGAGAATCTCGTTGGGTCAAGGGAGGAATGAAAGGCTGGGTAGTCGATTGACTTTTCTCCCAAAGCACAGATCCCTTTGAAGTAAAACCAAGGTACTATGAGGGTACTCACCCTTAATTATATAAGATGCTCACTCATCTTTGTTTAATATCCAAATCCAGGCCGGGTGAGGTGGCTCACATCTGTAATCCTAGCACTTTGGGAGGCTGAGGTGGGAGGATGGCTTGAGCTCAGAAGTTTGAGACTAGCCTGAGCAAAAATGAGACCCCATCTGTACTAAAAATAGAAAAATTAGCCAGGCATGGTGGCATGTGCCTATCGTCCCAGCTACTTGGGAGGCAGAGGCAGGAAGATCACTTGAGCCCAGGAGTTTGAGGTTGCTGTGAGCTAGGCTGACGCCAGAGCACTCTACTCAGGGCAATAGAGTGAGACTCTGTCTCAAATAAAATAATAAAAAATTTAAAAATTAAAGAAAAATATATCCAAATGCTCTGGTTAGTAGGATGGTGCTACTGTCAAGAGCTGAGGTCAAAGAATATTACAGAAAAATTTCTTCCTGTTTGCAGTAGTGCTCAAATAAGAAAATGGATGCAAACATTTGGAAAAGAATAAAACAGCCTCCCAAAATATTGGGTAAGAGAAAATGATGATTCACACTATAATAATTACCACCTTTCCAAGGAAAAATCAAATCCTCTGTGGTCTTTTGTGGTCCTGGCACGGTAACGTTGCAGTATGCAGTGCCGCATGACTGCATTGCCTAACAACCATCGTTTCATGCCTCCAGGAAAGAAAAGACACAGTGGTTAGGAAAAACAAAAACTTCCCAGCATTATTGATGATAGTATTTCTGGAGGTTAAAGAGGCATTTGGCCTCACTGATTGTGAATTCCAGTTCTTTTTTTTTTTTTTTTTTGAGACAGGGTCTGGCTCTGTTGCCTGAGCTAGAGTGCAATGGCAAGATCATAGCTCACTGCAACCTCAAACTCCTGGGCTCAAGGAATCTTCCTCCCTCAGCTTCCTGAGTAGCTGGGACTATAGGTGTGTGCTATCATGCCCGGCTAATTTTTCTATTTTATGTAGAGACAGGATCTTGCTCTTGCTCAGGCTGGTCTCAAACTCCTGGCCTCAAATGATCCTCCCACCTTGCCCTCCCAAAATGCTGGGATTACAGGTTTGAGCCACAGTGCCCAGCCAAATGCCAGTTCTTTTATCAGCAAGAATAATCTTCCATATTTTTGTGTAATGCACACATGATATGAAAATCCAGAAAACAAAATGTTTCTAATTCAAGATGCTCCTTCCTCCCGAGATCCCAGCGACTTTCCATCCAGTTCTCAGCATCTTCCCTCCCTTGGCCCGGAAGCCATCCTGACAGGACAAAGACTTTCCCCTCCTGTCTTTCTTCACAGTTAAATGCAGGCAGCTCTTTCTTAAAATGTGAATTGTCCCCTGCATATTAGGGGCTCGAAAGGAAAGCAGAGCCGGGGTGGAAGCAGGCACCCATGTAAGCAGCTGGGAGACGGGAGCCACAACCAAGCAGCCCTGTCATCACCAGAGACAGAGGCTGGCCCAGGGGAAGCTAACGCGCCTCCCCAGAGGCGAGCTCACCGGCATCTCAGAGGCGATCGGGACATCTCCTCACACCATGAGACTAGGCAGGAGGTGGTTCCCGACTCAGGAGGCCGCTCAAACCAGATGGCAGATGGCGTTGTTTGTCTCTGCAGAGCCAACTCTGTGTGTGGCTGCCCTGCGTCACACACAGCCCTTTGCTTCCCTCCCTTCGACTTCAGGGGAGGAGGCGCGCTGGGAGACCGAGGCAGGAAGAGAGGGACGCCTCCAACTATGTTACCCTGCAGAAATCAGGTTAAGACGCTCAACCAGAGGGGCCTCGCAGAGGGACGAGTTCACGACAGGGGAAGCTGAGGGAGGAGGAGTGATTTCCAGACACCCCCATTAAGCTCATCTTCCCCGTCCCTCCTCCCTCTGCACCACAGAAGCTCTGGGCGCTCAGGCACGTTCTCCACGCTCCCAGGACTTATTAACACCTGAGGGCCTGGGCCCGGCTGGCCAGAAGGGCCTCCCACTGACACGTCGACGCCACCTCCGACGGGACTGGGCTTTGCAAACCAACCACAGGGTTGGTAACCCCGTCTGCTGTTTCTTCTTTTTCCTTTTTCATAAACTGAGACCCACAAAATACGGAAGTGGTGTGGGCTTCTCTCTGACGGCGAGAGGCCCTGCCAGCATCTGCTTTTCGGCTGGGAGAGTCGCCCGCTTCCCACTCTGCGGCCGCTCTCGGGCTCCCGCTGTCAGCCCTCCCATGGGGTTGGAGGTGGGACCTGTGGAAAGGTGACATCCTGGGCTGGGTTCCTCTGGAAGCCGACCAGGGACAAAGATTCCAGTGCAACAGGGGACTGACTTCGTCTGGGGACTGACTTCGTGGAGGAAAACAGAAAAGTTCATTTGGGAAGTGGTCCCTGCCCGCCCCAGTGAGAAACGAGGAAATGAGGAAGGAAGGGGAGGGAGCCTCCCCAGGTTTGTTAACTAGCAGGTTACCTCCGTGAGCAACTGAGGCGCAAAGCTTTGGGGGCTTCTGGAAGATTCCAAGGCACATAGACACGCCTCGGATTTTCCCGGCATGAAGGGTGAGCGCCGTCCTTGTAGCTGACCCCGGCTCCAGGGACGGCTCCCTGTACTCTGGCCTGCTCTGGCGAGGTCTGCGCGCCGGAGAATGTTCTCAGGTGGAGTCCTGGGTACGCTGAGCAGGAACCCCCAAATCTCAGTGGCACCTGCTCCCCGTCCATTTCCAGTTTCAGGGGGGCTCTGGTCTCTGCAGGCCCTCTCACACTGGCTTACGAGCAGCCACCATCTTGACCACTGCTGATGACCTAGCCAGAGGGAAAGGAAGCTGTTCTAGAGAGTTCTGAACTGGCCACTAAATGCTCCAGCCGGAAGTGACACGTGTCTCTTCCATTCACAACATATTGGCCCGAGTTACGCACAGGGCCCAACACGACAGCACGCGGGACAGGAAGAAGCTCCTTCGCCCCCACCTGAGCCTGGTGGCAGAGAGCTTCAGGTATTCAGCGCATGGTGTTAAATATGACTTCCCAGCAGCTCCAGTGTTTACAGGATAAAGCTCAGAACATGGCCACATCATACAGATGACTTTCTTTCTTCTTTTTTTTTTTTGAGACAGAGTCTCACTTTGTTGCCCAGGCTAGAGTGAGTGCCGTGGCGTCAGCCTAGCTCACAGCAACCTCAAACTCCTGGGCTCAAGGGATCCTCCTGCCTCAGCCTCCCGAGTAGCTGGGCTACAGGCATGTGCCACCATGCCCGGCTAATTTTTTCTATATATTTTTAGTTGGCCAATTAATTTCTTTCTATTTATAGTAGAGACGGGGTTTCGCTCTTGCTCAGACTGGTTTCGAACTCCTGAACTCGAGCAATCCACCCGCCTCGGCCTCCCAGAGTGCGAGGATTACAGGCGTGAGCCACCGCGCCTGGCCTACAGATGACTTTCTGAGACCTATTTCCTTCCAATTTCCAATCTTAAAAAAACCGGGCCAGGCGTGGTGTCTCACATCTGTAATCCTAGCACTCTGGGAGGCCGAGGTGGGAGGATCACTCAAGGTCAACAGTTAGAAACCAGCCTGAGTAAGAGTGAGACCCTGTCCCTACTGTAAATAGAAAGAAATTAATTGGCCAACTAAAAACATATATAGAAAAATTAGGCCGGGTGTCGTGGCTCACGCCTATACTCCTAGCACTCTGGGAGAGCGAGGAGGGCGGATCGCTCAAGGTCAGGAGTTCAAAACCAGCCTGAGCAAGAGCGAGACCCCGTCTCTACTATAAATAGAAATTAATTGGCCAACTAATATATATAGAAAAAATCAGCTGGGCATGGTGGCGCATGCCTGTAGTCCCAGCTACTTGAGAGGCTGAGGCAGGAGGATTGCTTGAGCCCAGGAGTTTGAGGTTGCTGTGAGCTAGGCTGACGTTGGGCAACAAAGCGAGACTCTGTCTCAAAGGAAAAAGGAAAAAAGAAAAAGCGGAGTAGAGCTGGTGCTTGGAACTGGACAGGAGGGTGATGAGGGGACTGCTGGGACTGGGCCTGGTCGCTGACGGCCCCGCAGACGGCCTGGCGTTGGCTTGTGACTCTGCCACTGGATGGATGTTTACAGGAGCCCAGAGTTTGCCTCTCTCTGCTTCACCCCAATGCACCTGCTTCCAGACTTAACCTCGGGAGGGGACACTTCAAACCGCTCCAGCTCTGTCGGATGTCAGTTGAGCCTCCAGCCCCGCTGGGGTTAGCCGGAGGCTGGTCTTAGATGCAGGCACGTTCAGGGAGTGACTCAGAAGCAGCAGCGGAGGAAGCTGTGGGGGCTGAGGGTAGGGTTTGGCTGCTTCCTTTCGGGTTGCTTTGTCTTCATCAAGTTGGCAAAACCGACATGGCGCTGGGGAGCACCATGTTGCTCCCCTGGCCAGAAATGCTTTTCTGAAAATGCAGAGTGGTGCAAATACTTGATTTTGATAAACCTATAAAAGCAATACTTAGGAAGTTGACTTTTTTTGATTAAAAAGTACAACTCAAAAAAAAAAAAAATCAGAAGGACTGGCCACGTTGGGCCCATTTCCTGCCTTGCAACTCCTGGTTGAACTGAAAAGTGACCGCCTGTTGTAGAGAGTCACACCCTCCTCTCGGCGCCCATGTGGCCCAGAGCAGTCAGGGACCGTGTGTCCATGTGTCTTTTATTTTTAAGACAGAGTCTGACTCTTGCCAGGGCTAGAGTGCTCTGGCATCATCCTAGCTCACAGCAGCCTCCAACTCCTGGGCTCAAGCAATTCTCCTGCCTCGGCCTCCCAGACTGCTACGATTACAGGCATGCGCCACCGCACCCAGCCCAGGACCATGTGCTTTAGTCCATTAAAACCTTCTTACCACCCTCCTGCACACCTCCACTACTGCCCCCACACTGTCTCCAGGCTGCTTGCACGCGTCCTGGAAACTGTCCCTGTACTTCCCTGTCTGTCTAGAACACTCTGTCTGCAGAGCTCCCGGAGGCTCCCACACTCTGGCTTGGTGCACACGAACATCCTTGGAAGCTGAGTGTTAAGGGCGTTGGAGCCACAGGATGGAGGGTCAGCTACAGGGATTCTGGAATCTGCATATGGCCGGTGCTCCTGAGTCAGAAACCCTACTGTGGAATTTACAGGAGCAAGAACGAAGCTTCTATTGTCTCCAACCACCAAGATTCAGGGCTTATCTGTCAACGACCCTAACTAATGAACAAGGCTACTCACATTCGGGGTGAAGCTTTGCAAGCTCACTTGTCCACACACTGAAAGCCATGTTCTCCCATCTGCTTTATCAGGGGATAATGGTGATCATTTGTTCTCCCTCGAGACCAGCATTTACCTTTGAATCTATTCTGAAATCAGGTGAGGAAAGAGGATGTTGCTTATTAGGATCCTTAAAATCCCAACAACAATTAAGGCCTGAATAATACCATAGTGGTATTAATAAAAAGGGAGGAACAGGTTCCAAAACATATAAAATATCAATCTGATTGCACAATTGTTTCCAGACAAAAGAGCAAACTAAACTATGTTTTTAATGTCAAGAGCTAAATTGCCTGGAGAAAAATATAATGTATTGTAAGCAATAAGCAACAGCCCCAGACATATGTTGATCCCTTTCAACATAACAGCATGAAGAGCCCTGGCTTAACCTTCTCCACTTCCAAATCAGCCCCTTCATGCAGCTAGCACTCTCCTCTCACCTTAACCAGAGCAGTGGCTGTGCATTCTTAGCTACTAGCTCCTGATTTGAAAGCCTTCCTGAAACTTGTTTTAATCTATCTTTGATTCTGCAATGCTCTGATTACATTTCCATAGTGGCTATGTTAATTAATGGTGATGATCTGACTTAATGAAAGAGGGAATCAGTAAGCCATTCCCTGGCCACTTTCATAAAAAGGGGAGTGCTAACAAGTGCTAATGGCCTGACATGGAAATCTCACCTCCCTGGGAGCTTTTAACCTGCAGTCACATCCTGAAACATAACCCGGGAGGCTGCTCCAAGCAACTGGATGTTTGATCTTCCTCTTGTAAGGAGGACTAACTATACTCAGATTTCTAAGCTGAAATCCTCCTAGAAAATAGGGCCTGTAAGCAGCAGGGAGCTTGGGCCCAGAAATGCATGACTGGCAAAAGCCAACCATTTGGCCCATAGACTTAATAGTTGCATTATCATGTAGTATATATTGTTATGTTATATGACATTATATTATAACATTATGTTTCATAATTTATTTCATATTGTATTTTATTCATTTGTTATCTACTGCATGAGAATTAAAATTCCCTGAGTGTAGGGCTCTGGTACTGTTCAGCTCTGTATCCCCAGTGTCTGTTAAGAGTGTACAGTCTGGGTGTGCTGGCTCATGCCTGTAATCCCAGCACTTTGGAGGTGAAGGTGGGAGGCTCACTTGAGGCCAGGTGTTTGAGATGGGCCTGAGCAAGAGTGAGACCCCATCTTTACAAAAAATAGAAAAATTAACCAGGTGTGGTAGCACGCGCTTGTAGTCCCAGCTACTTGGGAGGCTGAGGCAGGAGGATTGCTTGGGCCTAGGAGTTGGAAGTTGCTGTGAGTTATGATCATGCCACTTACCCTCATGCCCGGGCAACAAAGCGAGACCCCGTCTCTTAAAAAAAAAGAGGCCAGGCGCGGTGGCTCACGCCTGTAATCCTAGCACTCTGGGAGGCCGAGGCGGGCGGATTGCTCAAGGTCAGGAGTTCGAAACCAGCCTGAGCAAGAGCAAGATCCCGTCTCCACTAAAAATAGAAAGAAATGATCTGGACAACTAAAAAAAAAAAAATATATATATATAAAATATATCTGGGAATGGTGGTGCATGCTTGTAGTCCCAGCTACTCAGGAGGCCGAGGCAGCAGGATTGCTTGAGCCCAGGAATTTGAGGTGGCTGTGAGCTAGGCTGAGCAACAGAACCAGACTCTGTCTCAAAAAAAAAAAAAAAGAAAAGAAAGAAAAAAAATCTTCACAACTTTTTGAATGAAAAAGTATTTGTAGAAAAATATATGTACAGTATTTATATTTTTATATTAAGAAAATAGAACACAGCTGGGCGAGGTGGCTCACGCCTGTAATCCTAGCACTCTAGGAGGCCGAGGCGGGAGGATGGCTCAAGGTCAGGAGTTCAACCAGCCTGAGCAAGAGCAAGATCCCGTCTCCACTAAAAATAGAAAGAAATGATCTGGACAACTAAAAAAAAAAAAAATATATATATATAAAATATATCTGGGAATGGTGGTGCATGCTTGTAGTCCCAGCTACTCAGGAGGCCGAGGCAGCAGGATTGCTTGAGCCCAGGAATTTGAGGTGGCTGTGAGCTAGGCTGAGCAACAGAACCAGACTCTGTCTCAAAAAAAAAGAAAGAAAAGAGAACAAAAATATACTTTCTATTGTCACACATATCTATGTAGATGCATACTAAGAATTCTGGAAAGATCCACCTTAAACCTATAATAGTGGTTGCTTTTGGGGAGGGGCTCAAGACTGGGAATTGTAGTCAAAGACTCTTAGGTTTATCTAGGATGATTTTCAACCAGGGCGATTGTGCTCTCCAGGAGACACTGGGCAATGACTGGTGGTGTTTTTGGTTGTCACAAATGGGTGAGAGGCGGGTATTATAGGCATCTAGTGGGTAGAGGCCAGGATGCGGCTAAGTATCCTCCAATGCTCAGGACGGCCACCACGACAAAGAATTACCTGGCCTGAAATGTCAGTAGTTCCAAGGTTGAGAAACCCTGATCTAAATCATTTTAATTTTTACAATGAGATAGCATTCAAGTAATAATTGCATAACTAAAAATGGATTTTTTTAAAAGGTGTAGTGTCTGCACCGATACACTGTCCACATTCCCCCTTTGGGACCCCGTCACCTATTTCCTCCGCTGCTGGGAGTGCTGGCGGCTGCTGGCTCACACGTCTGAAGAATCCCTCTTCAGAAGTTGCCCTTGGCTGAAGGAAGCTGCCCCGTCCAACAGTCTTTTATCCTTGAAAACCACAGCACTATTGACATTACTTCTTTGTAGTGGGAGGCTTCGTGCGTTGTAGGACTGTGGCAGCAGCCCTGGCCTCTACCCACTAGATAGATGCCAGTAGCACCCTTCCTCCCACTAGGACAACCCAAACTGTCTTGGATATTGCCAAGTGTCCCCTGGGAGACAAATCTGCTCCCTCTCCCTGCACTAAGAACCATTGCTTAATCCTACAACTCTGGGAGGCCAAGGTGGGAGGATCACTTGAGCTCAGGAGTTCACGACCAGCCTGAGCAAGAGCCAGACCCCGTCTCTACTAAAAGTAGAAAAATTAGCTGGATGTCATGGCACACACGCCTGTAGTCCCAGCTACTCAGGAGGCTGAGGCAGGAGGATCGCTTGAGCCCAGGACTGTGAGGCTGTCGTGAGCTAGGCTGACACTACTACATTCTACCCAGGGCAACAGAGTGAGACTCTGTCTCAACAAAACAAAAAATAAACCATTGCTGAGTGCCCTCTTGTAGTCCTGGCTACTTGGGAAGCTGAGCTGGGAGGATCCCTTGAGCCCTAGGAGTTCAAGTTCAGCCTGGGCAATATAGTGAGACCCCATCTCATAAAACAAAAACAAACCATTGCTGTCCAATGTCTGGTTGATATGGGGACACAGAGGGCCTGGCCCCCTGGCCTCAATTTGGAAAGTCTCTGAGGGCCATCCCAGTCTTTGTTGAGACTGCATCATAAATTACTCTGCCCGATCCTTTCCCCCTCACCGCTTTGTGGGTGTTTGCAAGAGCATCCCCATAAACGTTCTGCATGCGAATCTCCCTCCCAGAGTCTGTTCCTTTGGGTCACTGATCCAAGACCAAGATCAAGGCTCAGAAGGGTTAAGTGACTTTATCAAAGGTCCCATAGCACAGAAGATGTGGAGCTAAGACTGTGGCCTGTCTCCTCTTTCCAAAAGTGGTTTTCGTAAGCGTTATGCTACACAGAGTTTATTATTATTATTGGGCTCTGCTGACACCACTTCTCAGTGAGCTCTGACTTTCCTGCCCCATGCGTATTTCTGTAATTGAAGGAACAGAAGAAAAATTCATAGAATGTGAAACCCAATGGCATTGACTCAATCCCTTTCCCTTTGTTGCTCCTAAGCCGCATACCTTATAGATGTGCTCGTCTGCAAACTCTCTTGACTGGTTGACAGGCGGCAAGTCCAAACATGTGGACATTTCAACTACGAGTGTTTAACATGACTGCAAAAGGCCTTTGTGTTCAGAAAATGTTTTTCTTTGGATAAAAATATGGATGTGAAATAAAGGGCCCATACAAGGGTTGTGGCGGGGACAAGGTCATCTCTCATTGCGATGGTCCATTTCTAAGAACACGGGACAGTTAGAGTGCTGTGGTCTGGTGTGAGAACTCCTGCTATACCAATAGTGATAATAGACATTAATTGAGCTACTGCTGTATGCCAGCACTACATACTTTGTATATTTATGTATTCTACATTTATCTATTATTAAATGCATTGTATAGTCTATTAGCATGTATCATATATATTTCATAATGTAATATATACATAATGTATTTTACTATATATAATATTTATAGACTAATATAAATCTTAACATATACAAAATAACATATAGATGTTTACCGTATATCTGTACATATACTGTATATATGTATATATATGTGTTATATACTGTATTTACTATTCTATATTGTATACATACATATATATGTATCTTATATTTATAACATATAAAATAACATTATATATCATATGAGGGCTGTCTCGAAAGTATCCAACCATTGTTAATATATAGTAAGAACAGTAGTACATGGTTGGATACTTTCCGGACAGCCCTCATGTATCTATAGAGAGCTGTTATTATTTCACCCACTTACTGATGAGGAATCCGAGGCACAGAGAAGTTAAGTAACTTGCTCAGTGTCACACAGCTAGTAAGTGGCAGAGCCACTCCAGTGTGCCTGACTGCTATTAATTTTCAGGAGTTGTGGCTCCAACTCACAGCACATTCATTCAACTGAATGCATTTATTAGGAAAAGCTTGAAAAGTCTGGCTATCTGTGTCTCTCTCCTCCCCTTGTAACATATAGTATGTGTGCAAAAAATAATTAAATGTCAAAAAATAGGCTAGTTTTTGTCTTAAACTGATCTGCATAAGTTGGTCAGTTGGGTTCAATTAAGGGACTGTATGACTGTGTAAATGGTGAAAATTTATTACTGTCTAGGTATCTCAAAAGGAAAATGCAATTATGGATTTGTGATACATTTTCTAGCATTGAAATTGGAAACCCTTAGAACACATAAGTACATTATTCAACTTCCAATTCTTCGAGTTTCCCACTCTTATTTTTTCCAGTAGTGCATTACATAAAAAAAAGTAGCAAAATTGATCACTCACTGTTTCTTTGATGCTGTGGTTGAAAGACTTCCTGTAGAATACCTCTTTGCTGAAGGAGTGTTGAGAGAGCTGGAACTGACGCCCTCACTCATCTCTGTGCTAAGAAACCCTGACATGGGTTTTCTATTCGTTTGTTTTTGCTTCACCACTGACAAGCAGGATCTGATCAAATTGAACTTCCTGTGGAATAACCCACAGAAAAGTTATTTATGGCTTCTTAATCTTCCCAATCTGAATAGTAACTTGGGGGAAAGGAAGAGTGTTGAGGAAGTGGAGCATAGGAAAAAAAAAAAGGAAGATGAGAAAAAGAAAGAGAGAGAGAGAGAAAGAGAGAGATTTGGTTTCAAACAGTTTCTTACTGTGAAGGACATCTAGGGTATCTATGACTCTTATGTCGTTTTCTTGTTTTCTTTCTTTCTTTTTTTTTGAGACAGAGCCTTTTTTGAGACAGAGCCTCATTCTGTTGCCCAGGCTAGAGTGAGTGCCATGGCGTCAGCCTAGCTCACAACAACCTCCAACTCCTGGGCTCGAGTGATCCTCCTGCCTTAACCTCTCGAGTAGCTGGAACTACAGGCATGTGCCACCATGCCCGGCTAAATTTTTTCTGTTTTTAGTTGTCCGGCTAATTTCTTTTTTATTTTTAGTAGAAACAGGGGGCTCTCGCTCTTGCTGAGGCTGGTCTTGAACTCCTGAGCTCAAGGGATCCTCCCGCCTCAGCCTCTCAGAGTGCTAGGATTACAGACAGGAGCCACCGCACTGGCCAATATCTAATATTTTAAAATCTAGCCGAGGAAGGGGGAAAAAACAAACTTCATAGTTCTAAGACTGGAAACCTCCCTTTTATGTTTTTGTTGTTGTTTTTTGAGACACAGTCTCACTCTGTTGCCCAGGCTAGAGTGAGTGCCATGGCATCAGCCTAGCTCACTGCAACCTCAAACTCCTGGGCTCAAGCAATCCTACTGCCTCAGCCTCCCAAGTAGCTGGGACTACAGGCATGCGCCACCATGCCCGGCTAATTTTTTCTATATAATTTTAGTTGGCCAATTAATTTCTTTCTATTTTTAGTAGAAACGGGGTCTCGCTTTTGCTCAGGCTGGTTTTTATGTTTATGTATGAAGTTTAGCAGGGCGGCCTGGAGTCAGATCACCTGGGTCCAAATCCTGCCTTTGCCACTTGCTAGCTGATTATCTTTGTGCCTCAGTTTCTTTATCTGTAAAGTCTTAACTGAATTAATTCTTGTAAAGCACTTATAAAAGTGCCTGGCTCTTAGTAAACACTCATAAGTGTTATGTAATAATAATATTATTAAAATAATGACATTAGCTTTTTTTTTTTTAATCAGGAAACTCCTTTTCCTCACCTCTCAATTCTTCAAATATTGCTTTAGTCATCTCTAGATGCCCAAACTTGCTTTCTGCAGGGGAAATTTAGTTGTGGATAACATCAAGTTACACATTGTCTTGCACTTGGCATCAAATCTGTTGGAGCTGCCATTTTTATTTGAGTTGCTTGTTGGGTCAGAAGAAAAAGTAGACCTGGGAGACTGGGGACTTCTAACTCTCAGATAAACCTACGGTAGCTAATAGTGACATATCTTATTAACACAGTTCATTTGCAACTTAAAAAGGGAACAGATTCCAATTTCACTCACTGAACTGAGTTGAATAGCATCTTCCCAAATTTCCTGTCCACCCAGACCTGTGAATATGGCCTTATTTGGAAATAGAATCTTTGCAGATATAAAATTAAAATAAGGTCATGGTAGATTGGGGTGATCCCTAAACCTAACGTGACTGGTTTCCTTATAGAAGAGAGACATTTGGACACAGAAAGACAGACACAGGGGAGAAGGCTGGGTAAAGATGGCAGCAGAGATTGGAGTGATGCACTACCAGCCAAGGAACCCCCCAAATTGCTGGTGACCACCAGAGTGTAGAAGTGGCAAGAGAGGAATCTTCTCCAGAGCCTTTGGAGGGAGTACGATCTTGCTGACACCACTGGTCTGCTAGCCTCCAAAATTATAAACGAATACATTTCTGTTGTTTAAAGCTTCCAAGTTTGTAGTAATTTATCATTGCAACCCTAGGAAACAAGTACATTCGCAAAAAGAGAAATAAAAATGAAAGGCCGGGCGTGGTGGCTCACGCCTGTAATCCTAGCACTCTGGGAGGCCAAGGCCGGAGGATTGCTCAAGGTCAGGAGTTTGAGACCAGCCTGATGAAGAGTGAGACCCCTCTCTCTACTAAAAATAGAAAAAAATTGTCTGGACAACTAAAAATATATAGAAAAAATTAGACAGGCATGGTGGCGCATGCCTGTAGCCCCAGCTACTTGGGAGGCTGAGGCAGGAGGATCGTTTGAGCCCAGGAGTTTGAGGTTGCTGTGAGCTAGGCTGATGCCATGGCACTGTAGCCCGGGCAGCAAAGTGAGACTCTGTCTCAAAAAAAAGAAAAGAAAATTAAAATTATACTGACATGCCATTTTTAACCTGCCAGTTTGACATAGATCAAAAAGCCTGATACACACTAAGTAGGAAGTGTGGGGAGAAATTTATTGCTTTCGTTTTTGCTGGTGGAAGTATATGTAAATTAATATAATCTCTTTGGAGATGATTTGACAATTTCTATCAAAATTACAAATGCTTATACCTTTTGGCCCAGTTATTCCACTTCTAGGATTTATCCTACATGTGAGAAATCTGCATATGCAGACAATTATACTTGGGCATGTGGCACATGGCAGCACTATTTGTAACCACAAATGTTTGGAAGCACACTAAAATGTTCATTATCAAGTGATGGTTGAATAAGCTATAGAACGTTTATACTTAGAGTTGGTAACCTTTTTCCATAAAAGGCTAGATAATAAATATTCTAGGCTTTGTAGGCCCAGAGGTCTTGGGTACAACTATTCAACTCTGCAATTGTAGCTCAAAAGCAATCATACACAATATGTAAACAGATGGGCATGGCTGTGTTTCAATAAAACTTTATTTATAAAAATCAAACATTGGCCAGATTTGGCCCATAAGCCCCCATTTGCTGATTTCTGATCTATATTCAATGGAATATTATGAGCTGAAAAATTAGTGAGGTAGCTCTCTATGTCCTGCTATAAAATGTCTTCGAGGGTTAAATGAAAATGGCAAGGTTCAAAACAGTATGGACCTTGTAGCACAACTCCAGTATCTAAAGATGAAAAAAAAAAAAAAGACAAAACAGTATGGACTTACTTGTAAGAAAAAAATATATGAACATACAAAATTATTTGTATATTCATAGACAGTCTCTGGAAGTAGCTATAAGAAACTGGACCAGGCCGGGCACGGTGGCTCACGCCTGTAATCCTAGCACTCTGGGAGGCTGAGGTGGGCAGATTGCTCGAGGTCATGAGTTCGAAACCAGCCTGAGCAAGAGCAGGACTCCCGTCTCTACTATAAATAGAAAGAAATTAATTGGCCAACTAATATATATAGAAAAACTTAGCCAGGCATGGTGGTGCGTGCCTGTAGTCCCAGCTACTCGGGAGGCTGAGGCAGGAGGATCACTTAAGCCCAGGTTTGAGGTTGCTGTGAGCTAGGCTGACACCACAGCACTCACTCTAGCCTGGGCAACAAAGCAAGACTCTGTCTCAAAAAAAAAAAAAAAAAAAGTGTACCCATTACCTATATCTGGGATGTGAAACAGTGTGGCTCAGGGACAGGTTAGGGAAGATACTATTCATTGTGCCATTTGAATTCTGAAGCCTGGTGAAATTATTAACCTACTGAGAAAACTAAATAAAAATAAAAATTTACAAAGGTGAGCAAATTTCTTTCCCTACCACAGAGTTATTATTTGCATGGCCAGAATGGTTTTTACATGTTTAAATGGTTGAAAAACTTCAAAAGAAGAATAATATTTTGAGACACATGAAAATTACATGCATTTCAGTGTCCATAAATAAAGTTTAATTGGAACATAGCCCTGTTCATTCATCTACATTTTTTTCCTGTGGATAATTTGGCCCCACAGTGGCAGAGCTGAGTTATTGTGACAGAGGGCCCATAAAGCCTAAAATATTTATCTGGTCTTTTACATAAACAGTTTGCAGATTCTTGTTCTAGATTAAAGAACAAAACAATCTTTCACATGCTTCTAGAAATAGAAAGTTCTTATTTAATATTGAATGATCATTCCATGAGGACTTTTAAAAAAGTAAATGGCTTATGAAGAACTCAGAGATAAACTGGGAATTTACTTGCTGCTTCTTAGAGAACATGAGAAAAGCCAGGGCCTCTGTTAACTTAAATAAGGCCTTTGGGCCACCTGTCTGGGTCTCCCTGTTCCCTGTGCTGGTGAGACCATCAGAACGAAAATGTATCCCAACTCCCTTTCTTTTATTTCACCGAAAATTCAAAGTACTTGATGTTAACAAAAAACCAAGATGACCTAGAATCTCTTTTAATTTCTACTAAGACTGAATCACAGCTTTGGGAGTTTTTTCTTTTGATGATGGGAAGAGTAGGCCTGCAGTTTTTTTTTTTTTTTTATCACCAATAAAACAAGTATACAAGGAAATGCCACCCTCTGAAAGTTTAGTGCTAGGTTTGTGAGAAACAATGAACCCATGTTAAAAGTTGGGTAATAACAGGATAGTAGTCAGTAGCTGTGTTTTCAACTTTTTGGACAATGATCCACAGTAAAATATGTATTTTATTTTATCATCCAATAAGTGCATATGTACACATACACTGAAAGAAATGTATTGGCTTCAATATCTGTCCTTCAGTGCACTCTGATATTTTGTGTTCCATTCCTTTATTTTCTAATCCATTTTAGTCTAGTCTAGTCCATTAGACATTGGCCATAACCCACCAATTTAATTTCACAACCCACTAATGACTGAGACCTGAGGTTTGTAAAACACTGGCCTATACTACAGGATCATGGTCAAGGAGGATGATAGAAGGAATTTTATATGAAATATTATACAACTATTGGGTCAGTTCTGACTGCTGAATAAAAAAAAAAAGAAATATTATACAACTGTACAGCATGGCTACATAGCATTAAAATAAATGTGATTAAGGTATGCGTACTAATGTAGACAGTTATTCTCAAAATATATTTACACATTTAAGAAGCAAGTTGTAGGCGGGGCGCGGTGGCTCACGCCTGTAATGCTAGCACTGTGGGAGGCCAAGGCGGGCAGATTGCTCAAGGTCAGGAGTTTGAGACCAGCCTGAGGAAGAGCGAGACCCCCGTCTCTACTAAAAATAAAAAGAAATTAATTGGCCAACTAATATATATAGAAAAAATTAGCTGGGCATGGTGGCGCACGCCTGTAGTCCCAGCTACTCTGGAGGCTGAGGCAGAAGGATCGCCTGAGCCCAGGAGTTTGAGGTTGCTGTGAGCGAGGCTGATGCTACCTCACTGTAGCCTAGGCAACAAAGCGAGACTCTGTCTCCCCACCCACCCAAAGAAGCAAGTTGTAAAACAGCACAGTAGTAGATAGGACTCTTTTGGTTGTAGGTGACAAAACACACACCCACACACACACACACACACACACACACGCCCCTACCTGTCTTCCCAGGGCTTTAGGAAAAAAGAAGTAATTGGCCATGCTTGAGTCAAAGGTCCTTCTGGAGTCTGCAAAGACTGAGGGTAGGTGAGAGAGAGTCTACAAAGGAAAAATATGGATACTATTTCCTAAAGAAGGGAGAAGCCAATGCTATCTAATGTGCAACATAAACAGGTACGGTATGACCCTTACTTATGCTTAAAATAATATAGGCAAAACCCAGGGAGGGAGATACAGGGTGAATTGTTAGCAGGGACATGTGAAGCGCAGGGATGTGGGGAGAGCTTTCACATTTTACTTCAAATTCTTAGATATCATTTATACTTTTTACCATGAAAGTCCTGTTTTTAGAACCAATAAAAACAATGAAAAGATTACCATCAAAAGAAGGAGAAATGTCTAGATGGGGGGAGGGGGAGAAGGGCATTTATTGAAACCTTAAAATCTGTACCCCCATAATATGCCAAAAAAAAAAAAAGAAAAAAACAAAAGAAATGTCTAGAAAGTCAAATCTATAAAGGTAGAAAGGAGATGGGTGGTTCCCGGGGGCTAGGAGTGAGAATGTGGATTAAGGGTTAAAAGGCTTTCCGGTCTTGGGTGGTGGGGAATACAGGCCGGTGTGGTGGCTCACACCTATAATCCCAGCATTCTGGGAGGCCGAAGTGGAAGGATCTCTTGAGCTTTAGAGTTCAAGACCAGCCTGAGCGAGAGCTGAGACCCCGTCTTTACTAACAATAGAAAAATTAGCCTGGCCTCTTGTCCTAGCTACTCAGGAGGCTGAGGGAAGAGGATCACTGGAGCCCAGGAGTTTGAAGTTGCAGCGAGCTATGATGACACCACAGCACTCTAGCCTGGACAACCAAGTAGTGAGACTCTGTCTCAAAAAAAAAAAAAAAAAATTGCATCATTTAAAAATTTACTGAAAATCACTGAACTATGTACTTAAAAGGAGTGAATTTTATGGCATATACATTACACAGCAATGAAAGTGTCTTTTTTTTTTTACTGACAAGTCTTGCTTCTAATGAAAGTGTCTTTAAAAAGAGAGAAAGGGGGCCGGGCGAGGTGGCTCACATCTGTAATCCTAGCATTCTGAGAGGCTGAGGTGGGCGGATTGCTCAAGGTCAGGAGTACGAAACCAGCCTGAGCAAGAGCAAGACCCCATCTCTACTATAAATAGAAAGAAATTAACTGGCCAACTAACATATATAGAAAAAATTAGCTGGGCATGGTGGCACAAGCCTGTAGTCCCAAATACTCGGGAGGCTGAGGCAGCAGGACCGCTTGAGCCCAGGAGTTTGAGGTTGCTGTGAGCTAGGCTGACGCCACGGCACTCACTCTAGCCTGGGCAACAAAATGAGACTCTGTCTCAAAAAAAAAAAAAAAAAAAGAGAGAGAGAAAGGGGCCGGGTGAGGTGGCTCATGCCTGTAATCCTAGCACTCTGGGAGACCGAGGCAGGAGGATCGCTTGAGGTCAGGAGTTTGAAACCAGCCTGAGCAAGAGTGAGACCCCGTCTCTACCAGAAAGAAAATAACAACAACAAAACCCAGCTGGGTATTGCAGCACACATCTGTACCTGGCAGGCTGAGGCAGAAGGATCACTAGAGCCCAGGAGTCGGAGGTTGCAGACAGCTACAATGATGTCACTCCACCCTACCCAGGGCGGTAAGACTCTGTCTCAACAAAAACAAACAAGGAAACTGAGCACCCCTCCTCGCAACCCCCCACCCCTTCATGTTAAAACAAAACAAAAGAAAAAAAAGAGAAAGGAATAAAAGAAGGAAAAGCCAGGAGGAAAGAGAGGAGGAGGAAGAGTCACCCCCCCCCCTCAATCAAGCTGCAGGATTTGGGATTCGGCTTTGAGCCATTGTGTCCATTTGCCCGGCTCCACTCTCCCAGTCATTCCCACTCTCCGCAGCTTCTCAAAGGTTACTGACACATGTCCTTGGTCCCATCTGCAATTATTTCAGTCTTTTGTGATGTCATCCATCAAGTTTAAACACTTTTTGACAAGGTGAATATGGTAACAAAGTCCAAAAGTTGGGTGTTTTCCCAACCTGCCGAACCTCTCCCCTTCGCACGCTGGTCTGCTCTGATGACTTCTCCTGTAGTCTGTGTTTACGTTTTGTGATTCTTAAACCAGAGTTCCTAGGCAACAGAAAGCCGGGCAGTGCGGTGCGGGAGCTGAGCGCGGGAAGCGTGGGCTCCGAGGGCAGCCCTGCCCAAGCTCACCGCGTGCGTGACCGACTGCCGCAGATGTTTGGAGTTCGGTCTACCTAGCAACCCCTCCTCCTTCGTCTGCAAACAGCACCCCAGGGTTTCTGGGGGAGTTTCCGGTCGCCTGCCCCCATGCCCGGTCTCTGTGGTTCTGGGGAGGCTGACTCTTACCCTGGGCTCCAGGAGTAAACAAGTGACTCAGGTCTGCCTGGACACCAGCATAGCTCATCTCTGGCCCCACTGGTTGGCTCAAACACGGGCATGTGACCCAAGAGAGTCCCATGAGAGTCAGTTCTGGAATGTTTTCTAGAAATACTTGAAAAGGGGTATTCTTTTTCTGCCATGATTGCTTGGTAGGGCGTAGGGTTGTATCTGCTATGGACCTTAGTGGGTCACCATACAGGGAAAGCCTAACTAAGAATGAAGCTAACACAAAGGAAATGGACCAGAGACAGGGAGAGTACTGACCTCATGTGTGAGTCTCTGGATCCATCCATACCTAAAGCTGGTGCTACTTGTACCCTTACCTACCATCAGGTGAGCCTGTGAATTCTTTGTTTGTTTATTTATTTATTTATTGAGACAGAGTCTCTCTGTCACCTGGGCTAGAGCACAATGGCATCAGCATAGATCACTGCAATCTTAAACTCCTGGGCTCAAGCGATCCCCCTGCCTCAGCCTCCTGAGTAACTGAGAATACAGTACGCACCACTGTGCCCTGCTAAATTTTTTGTTTTTTAGTAGAGACGGGGTCTCATTCTTGCTCAGACTTGTCTCAAATTCCTGAGCCAAGCGATCCTCCCACCTTGGTCTCCCAGAGTACTAGGATTACAGGTGTGAGGCTCTATGCCTGATCTTGAATTCTCTTTTCATATGCCAATTTGATTTGGGTTTCTGTCACTTGTCATGAATCCTGACTAATACAGTGTCCTTGGGTGAGTTGGTTCATCTATTGTAGCTACAATTTCCTTATCTGAAAAAAAAAGGGACTGATGACATGCGGCAGGAATTAAATGAAGCAATTTATTCGATGGCAACCAAGAAGAGTATAAAGGTGGTAGTGCTGGCTGGGCATGGTGGCTCACGCCTGTAATCATAGCACTCTGGGAGGCTGAGGCGGGCAGATTGCTCAAGGTCAGGAGTTCGAAACCAGCCTGAGCAAGAGCGAGACCCTGTCTCTACTATAAATAGAAAGAAATTAATTGGCCAACTAATATACATAGAAAAAATTAGCTGGGCATGGTGGCGTATGCCTGTAGTCCCAGCTACTTGGGAGGCTGAGGCAGGAGGATCGCTTTAGCCCAGGAGTTTGAGGTTGCTGTGAGTTAGACTGACACCAGGGCACTCTAGCCTGGGCAACAGAGTGAGACTCTGTCTCAAAAAGAAAAAAAAAGAAAAATGCAAAATGGCACATCCACATTGGAAGACAGTTTGGCATTTTCTTCCAAAACTAAAATTCTCTTGCCATACAGTCCAGTAATTGTGCTTTTTTGGTACTGAAACCCATATGAGCTGAAAGCTTGCATCCACACAAAAACCTGCATGAATGTTTATAACAGCTTTATTCATAATGGCCAAAACTTGGAAGCAACCAAGATGTCCCTCAGTAAGTGAAGGATAAATAAACTGTGGTACATCCAAGCAACAGAATATTATTCAGTGCTAAAGTGAAATGAGTTACCAAGACACACAAAGATGTAGATGAACCTTGCTGTAGTCTGTTTTCTGTTGCTATAGCAGAATATCTCAGACCCGGTGACTTATAAAGGAAAGAGGTTTGTCGAGCGCGTGATTTTGGAGGCTGGGAGGCTGGCCACATCTGGCCGGCCTCTGGCGAGGGCTTCGTGCTGTATCTGCACACGGCAGAGAAGCAGCGGCCGGGGAAGCAGGTGTGTGCAAAGTGACCAAACACAAGAGGCGGCCTCGCTTGGTAACGGCCTGCTCCCACGGTAGCTAATCCATTTCTGGGAGAGCAGAACTCATGAGTGAAAACTCTTTCCTGATAAAAAGGCTTTAATCCATCTTAACTACCAAATCACCTCTTAAAGGTACTGCCTCCTAATACCGCCTCCTTGGGGACCAAGCAGCAGCAGGAGTTTCGGTGGTGACAAACCATCTTCGAGCCACAGCAAACCTGAAATGCTTACCACTAAGTGAAAGAAGCCATGCTGAAGAGGCTGCAAACTGCAGGCTTCCAACCATATGATATTTTGGAAAAGGTGAAACTCTGGAGATAGTAAAAAGATCAGCAGTTTCCAGGGGTTAGGGAGGAGGAGAGGATGAACAGGTGGAACAGGGATTTTTTAGGGCAGTGAAACTATTATACTCCGTACAATACTCCAATGGTGGGTACATGTCACTATACATTTGTCAAAATCCATAGAATTGCACTCCACCCAGAGTGAACCCAGGGTCAGCCGTGGACTTCGGTGATTATGACGTGTCACGTGGTTTCATCAGTTGTAACGAATGTCCCACTTGGTGTGCGCTGTGGATTAGTGGGGAGGTCGTGCATGTGTAGACACGGGGTGTATGGGAACTCTATACTTGGCACTCAGTTTTGCTGTGAATCTAAAACTGCTGTTTAAAAAAAAAGTCTGTTTTTTTTTTTTTTTTTTTTAAAAAGGAAGGCACAGGGTTGGCCCTGGATGGGTCACTGTCCTCTCTGATCTAATGAGTGTGACCAGAGGAATCGAGCAGACTGGCCGGCCAAGCCCGGGTGCATGCCCACCTCTGGAATCAGCCTCCAAGACACGTCACTGGGGGTGGGGAGGGGTGGAATCCTAGAAAGAAAATGAGTGCTTGTTTTCAGAGAGGAGGAGAATGGATATTGGGGCCTTAAATCGGTAGACATTGACTATGCTGGGCAGAGAGGAGAATCCATTCCTCGTAATCAGGCAGCACAGACGGTCCAGAGGCCTCGAGGTGATAAAAGAGATGGAGTTTGTGGAAATACGGAATGATCCATTCTCTTTTAGGTGTCTAATTAACTCCCATTCAAGTCAACAACTTTATTAATTTATCGACCACCACATACGTCCCAGACTCTGTGCTTGGAGCTGAGGAGACTTTTGTGAATAATAACACAGTGAACAAGTTCGTTAGTTTTCAAAGGCTTAATGTTTATTCCATGCACATTTAGAAAGCCTTGCAAGTTTCGCTACTCCGAAATTAAATAACACATGGCCTCATTTGAATATCCATAATCCTTCTAAATCGTCGCAATTTCAGAGAATTGGAGGCTTCAGAGGAAGCCGGAGCAGTCACATGATTTGCCACAAACCCCCAGGCTACGGGGACTCTTGGCTAACTTTTGACCTTGCCTAACTGCAGTGACCACTTGAAGGGAAGAGAGTGCCCCACCGAGAGTTGCCCGTGGTTACTGTTGAGTAGCCGGACCCCAGACTGTGTGCGTCAATCTGGAGATTTTGTAATTGTTCAAAAGAGTGGGACATGAACCACAAATTAATTGTTTTTACATAGGCTTTTAAAACCAGCAAACCCAGCTTTTTGACATAGTGTATGAAATGAAATACCAAACCCTTTTCGTTCTAAGTTTTTACTTTCTGGACGCTTTTGAAGTGGTTTTGTTAGTTTTCTTCTTCACAAAATACTGCTATTGCTCCATTACTGTTTATGAAAAAGAAGGCCACACAACCTTTTCTCTGCCCGCTACATACTGTCCTGATTGCTGTCTCTGTGTCAAATTTACCTGGACTAAAGACACGCCACACCTTGAACTCTTTCAGCCAACCTACCGTTATTAAGCAATTAGTATGTACTTGGGGTTATGGCAAACATCAAAGAAGTGGGCACCACAGGCTCGAATGCCTTTCCATTGAGGAATCAAACTCAGTCTGTCTCTAGCTGTGTGATCTTAAGCTAGTTACTTAACATCTCTGAGCCTGAACTATAAAATAAGGATGAAATATCACTCTTGTAAGGGTCATATTTATGCATGTATTCAAAAATATAGTTTTGATGGCCAGGCGCGGTGGCTCACGCCTGTAATCCTAGCACTCTGGGAGGCTGAGGCGGGCGGATTGCTCGAGGTCAGGAGTTCGAAACCAGCCTGAGCAAGAGCAAGACCCTGTCTCTACTATAAATAGAAAGAAATTAATTGGCCAACTAATATATATATAGAAAAAATGAGCCGGGCATGGTGGCGCATGCCTGTAGTCCCAGCTACTTGGGAGGCTGAAGCAGAAGGATTGCTTGAGCCCAGGAGTTTGAGGTTGGTGTGAGCTAGGCTGATGCCATGGCACTCTAGCCTGGGCAACAGAGTGAGACTCTGTCTCAAAAAAAAAAAAAAAATATATATATATATAGTTTTGAGTCCCTACTCTGTGCCCCTACTCCTCTGGGATGCAGTGACAAAACAGTGGTGGGAGTGGTTGAGGGTTTTCAGTGGGGACTGAAGCCAGGCTGCAAAGAGGAGGCATTTGTATGTAAGCCTTTCTGGTAAATTACCTAAAGACATCTTAAAAGAAAAAAAAAAAAACATGAGTCTCTGGAGGCCACTGTATTAACTATCTATTGCTGTGTAACAAATTATCTCAAAATTTAGCAGTTTAGGCTGGGAGTGGTGGCTCACACCTGTAATCCTAGCTCTTGGGAGGCCGAGGCGGGCGGATCGCTCAAGGTCAGGAGTTCAAAACCAGCCTGAGCAAGAGCGAGACCCTGTCTCTACTAAAAAAATTAAAAGAAATTGGCC